TCCAGACTCCAGTTGTCTTCTGCCGAAACTCCGACTCTGGCACACTTGGTAACTCCGTCTAACGCGTCTGCCTGCGTGACCCGAAAGGAGAAGCGGCGATGAAAGATGAAGAAGCTGAAGATCGTTTAAGCAAATACCAGAAAATATGAGGATTTGTTCCCTTAGCAGATCAGAGCTTAGAACTGTCCTTTTCTTCACAGCAAAATTTTTCATCTTCTCCATTCATTCACCTTACGGTTCAGGTTCACGCAAATCCTCCTGGCTATGGAAATTACCCTCTGCCAAACTTCAACTAAGCGAGAAAACCCACATTGTTTGAAGAGCAGAGCAAACTTAGATTCTGATTCAGTCAACTTTGCCTTCTAACATTGATTGCCATCTTGTGGAATAGGGTCATTTACTCACTACCAAGTCCACTACAGTAAGCCAGAACATTTTCAGACATAATTACTGGACATAATTCTTCGTCAATTTCAAGAACTAGGTTCACGCTTGCGCCAGCTCTTCAATGAATTAAAATTACTTTATCCTGTCTATGATTGACCCCTGTTGCGTGGCATTACGAAGCAATATCGTCTCATTAGCACTTTTGCAAGTACTTTAGCCAACAAATCGTAAATATGATCTTTCATTTTTAGTATTTATATCACCCAGCAAATTAAATCCATGCAAGCATAGAAGAAGCCTTAGCACTAGACGCTAAAGTGGCTATAGATTATGCTACCGGAAAGCAAAATAAACAAATGACCTAAAATTTTATAAATTCGTTCCGTTTTAAGCTGCATTGTAACGAATACTCATATTACTGATTGAATTAAATCCATCATAATGCTGTTTCTCAAGTTTATGCTGGAAGTGCTTCCTCAGTTACTTACACGCTAGTCTCGTGTGAAAAAATACCTAGTTCTAAAAATTGATTCTACGTGTCAATAACTGAAATATGCAATTCCTAAAGCCGTTGCAAATGGCAAACAACATCGAGCGATCCAAACAGGACCAAAATATAACCTCGAAGTTCTGGGCTAACTTCCACAGTGTCGTCCGTAAATGCAACATTTTAAAAAAATGATACCGGATTTAACGGCGAAAATATGCTGTGCAAAGGGAAAAAACCCTTCACTTTACACGGACATTGCAGCAGTGCAAGACTAAGACCAATAGCAGCTTTTAACCGGGTTGACGAAACAATGCATTGCTCCTTGGACAAATCTGATATAGTTTAACGGAAAGGCGCGAAAGAAAACGCATAAAAACAAAAACACAGGACAATGAACGGAAAAACTGGTTAGGCTGAAGAAAATTTGCATGGTATCGTAGCGAGACTTTTAAGAACATCAGATACGAAATACGGCATATGATCATTGATCATGGACCCGGATAACTTGATTCCTTCAAAGCGACTCTGGTCGCACCAAGTCGACAGGTAGACAGGCTCATCGCCGTCACCCTTCTCTCGAGTAACATGAAGAATTCGACCTGGACATTGCAGTTTCGTGCTTCGCACGATTTCGAACGATGACTTCAGCTGCTCATCAGTGTAAGTCAATGTTCGCCGACCGCCTCCTTGCAATATCAACGGGTCAGTTGGCGATTGTTGCTGGATGTGTACCGCCGCCTCCTCGTCGACCACTGGCTCAATATTCGACTTCGACTCAATGAAGTACCGGAAACAACCTTTGAAAAGAATTTCGTATTTCGGTCTTGAGGTCTGCTCGAGTGCGTCCAGCACGGACATCTTCAATGCCTGCAACGAACTAACCGACAATCGAGGGACGAGGTCATCGCCGCATATAATGCTGAACACGAACTCGCGGGTATACGGTACTGCGTTCTCGCTAACAACACAGCCCGGTGGTGAGAATGCGAAACACATCACTTTAGGGTACAAAGGCCGCAGCAACATCGACACGACGCTTGCCACCCCAGCACCTAAGCTGTGACCAGTGATCACCAGGTCGTAGTCAGGCTGTAGCACGAAAAGGTCTTCCAGAATGTGCTCGTCCTTCAGCTTCGTGTAGATGTAACGAGCCGTTCGCAGAAAACCTTTGTGCACGAAGTAACGGCTAACGTCTTGGCTGGCCCCGGTCTCGCTGCCGCCCGTGTCTCCGGCCTCAGCCTTGTCAGACACTGCAGAGCCGCCGCACCATTCATACGGAAACTGTAGACTGTCCTCGCTGATGCACAGAT